TGACCGTCAAAAACATCCGGGGTCGACTCCCGGATCGCCCAGGACCATCCAGGACCATCCAGGACCATCCAGGACCATCCAGGACCACCCCGGTGCCAACACGGTGTCAACACGGACCGAATCCCGGATCACCCCGGATGGGGTCCGGGATGGTCCGGGACGGTCCGGGACGTATATGGGACTGTAGCTTTAGACAGTGTTGGCGAACCCACCCCTATAACTCATCGAGTCATAGAGTGCTGAGGGAATTCCCAAATATTCCCGAATAAAAAAATTGCTTCTACCCCCCCCCCCCCCCACAAAAAAAAATCAAAAATCAAAAATCAAACCCTCGACGGCTTGCCCAAAGTGAGTGTCGAAGGACTAAAGGCTATTCCTAATACTGGAAGCTGGTAGGATTATTTCCCCTTTCCGCTCTCCAATCCTTCGAATTTTGACACCTCTCATTTTTACCTCGTATCTCTCTTCATTGTCGCTTCTGTCACTGTTACGGGATGAATCGCCTCCCCCTTGAAGCTTGGAGGTTGCCATTGTATGACTGAAATATAGAACATAATAAAGTTCAATCGATGAATATGTGATAGCAGATTTCATCAATAAAAAAATAAAATAACTAGAGGCGATTGATAAAATGGTATATTTTGTAACCGATTTAGAGTTCAGAACTTAGGCTGAAGCGGCGGAGCGTTATTAAACGAAGGGAGGAGCACTGAAAAAGGTGGTGTGTTTTTTGGGGGGGAAGAGCACCTGTATAAAAGAGCGAATACATAAAAAATTAATGCTTTCTTCATAATTAGTGGAAAATTATCTGTTTTTGGTAAGCTTTCACTTGCTGTGTAGCAAGCTTCCTTAGACCCATGTCGTAGATGGCGCTGTTGTTAATGCAGTTCAAAGAGATTCGATCATACCATAGAGATATATGTCTCTATGGATCATACACGTATGTCCTCCGTAGGAGGACTAGAGGGCCAACTAAAATCTTGACCTTTGACATTTCATAGGTTTTGCATTGAATGCATTATGGGGGTTGTGTCCGATTTGAACGACGGTTTTGGAGGGTCAATGAATATTCATGAGCAATGACGTAAAAAATACGCCAACTACTGTTTGTTGATTGGCCATCGTCAAAATGTTTTATGTATTAGGTCATGCATAAATCATTTTTTTCATTCCCAGAATTCCCTACGATTTGAGCACGAAAATGGCGGTTGTATGAACTGCAACTTTCAAGTTATTCAATTACGAAAAATTAAACATTTTTCTTTTAAGTGAATTTCTATTATAATAGAAGTTTGTCAAGTACATCTCAGTGAAGCAGAAAATCTTCAGGCGAACAATGACATCGAAGTGATACCCTATGATATCAAGAAAGGTAAGTAAAGATCCATTTTGTGTGAAGGTCTCTGAAATGATTGTGATGTGTTCGTCATTGCAGTGAGCGGCTCTCCGCATTGTCACAACGTATTACCCGGTTAACCCCCTACCCCATCCTCTTTTCTTTCTTCTGACCAAAGAATATTAACTGATTGAATGAACTCTAATTTTAGTCATCGACGCTAGTATTTTCAGAAACAATCAGGATTTTACCGTAGGTTATTTCATTAGAGCACATCTCATAATTTTAAGTTCAGTTCATAGCTTGATTTCCGATAGTAATCGGTCGTAGATGTGGACCTGTTGGAGACTGCGCAAATGGCTCATTGCTAGTCCAAACCGATGAGATCTCGTCGAGCGGTTTATGATCTTCAATCCGCCGGTTCTAGCCGGTGTCATAGGCGATTTGTTCCGTGCAGGCGATCGGTTCCTCCGGAACCGATCGCCTGGATATGTACCCGCCGATTTGTTCCGGATTCGTAGATTCGTTCCGCTAGTCACAGGCGATCGGTTCCGGCCAGGCGATCCGTTCCGAATCTCATCGGAGAGCGTGCGTGCTCACGTATTATTGAATACACGCCATGGTACACCCCTAAAGCAAAATGAACTATTCTGGTCGGCCTTTGCAACCAATCAAACTTCTCCAAATTAGCTACACCAACGATTGCCAATTTGAGAACTTTGTATAGAAATGCAGATTCCCGTTGTTCAAATATGTTGATAATTGCGGCCAATGATTGACCACAAACAGTAACTATAGACAGCGCCGTCGCGAAGCGACGGGGACTGGGTGGTCTAGCAAAAAGGGCAGTTGTTGCCATAGGCTTAGTTTGCCTGTAAAAGCAGATGTCGGGGTGTTTTCTAATCAGGCCTTCTAATTTGGTTTGAATGCTGCTTTATATGATATCGTGTTACGTCAACCACCTATTACCGGGCTTCATCACAGAATCTAATTATGCATGTGGGCTGCATGCATGATGTACATGTAGTTTAAATGAAAGAGATGCGGGGTGGGGTGGGGGGGGGGGGGCCGGGATCAACAAAAAAAGAAATGAGTGGTCGAGCTGATAATTAAGAAGGACCAATAAAAAAGAAAAAAAGAAAAGAAGAGAAAGAAAATTCCTCAAGTAAAGGGGAATATTTTGAATGAAAAGGGCACCTATCAGAATTTTAATAGGGGCAGTTATCAGATATTAAAAGGGGCATTTTGAAAAGGGGAGGGGCTCATATAAAAAGAAAAAAGGGGCACTTGTCAAAGGCAAAGGGGTCACAATAAAAGAGGCACTTATCAGAGGTTAAAGTGGCATTTAAGACAAAGAGAAGAGAAAAATTGCACTTATTAAAAAGGAAAAGGGCACGAGTCAGTATAAAAAAAGGACAAAAATATCAGAGGTGAAATTCTTGCACCTGAAAAGAGGTAGACTCTCTAGACTAGATCTACTCATCTGTTATCAGAGATGAAAAGAGAGGAAAAGGACACTTTGGGGGTACCTAAAAAAGTAGGGGGCAAAGACAAATTGCCCCCCCCCCCCCCCACTGGGAGTGCCGTCTCTGGCATAATTTGTTTCATCCATCCATGTTTCATTCCAAAAGGAGCTAAATCCACAAAATCTAAAATTTAGTAAAAATCAGAAACAACTTTAGACCCTAGACCTAATTATTTTTCTTATCATAGATCTAGATCTAGACCTAGGTCTAGATCTATATTATTGGTCCAGGGCGACACCTTTAACATATAGATTTAGACCAATAACAACATGAAGGTGCATGGCTTAAGGGAAAGTGGATAGATCTAGGCCTAAATAAAAAGGTGATTTAGATCTAGATCTAGATCCTAGAGGTCTAAAGTCTACTCAGAATTACCCAAAGTGGATTTAGACTTCTAGCTCCTTTTGGAATGAAACCAATTTGGATTTAGCTCCTTTTGGAATGAAACATGGTAGATCTATTGTAGACTCTATCTAAATTTGTTCATAATTCCTGCTGAAATTTTCGAATGTGTTTCTACTAGGTCTAGACTAGACTAGGGTCTAGTGCATTTTGTCCCCAAGTAGGAAATCATTATTTTAAGACAGATAGACTCTAGGTCTAGATCTAGATCTAGATCTAGATCTAGGTCTAACTCAATTTTTAACAAAATATGGATTTAGCTTCTTTTGGAATCAAGCTCTTCATTTGTAAATCACTGGTATCGAATAAGAAATAAACCACGTTTTGAATGTTATTTGGGTCAACTCCCCCCCCCCCCAATCAGTACGCCACGCAGTGGCAGTAGCTTGGCCTAGATCTAGTTAGGGTTTAGTCAGTAGGTTATTTATTTATTTTTCGTACCGCGCGCGGGTAATTCCGTACGAGGTTATAAACCTTACTATTAAGTAATATTTCAAAAAAAATAATATTGGTTTTCATTGCAACAATAAATACAAAAGTATCAAGATAAAGCTAAAATTTATTTTTACCATGTTTATTCGACACAAGTAATAAAAATATACGCGATTATATAAGCAGTAACGTTCGGCCAATGTCGGATAAGAACGGCGGCTTTCGAACGTATCTGCGAACGAGTCGATCCAGTAGATTCGTTCCGAGGAACAAATCGGCGCGCCGATTTGTTCCGCGGAACCCGGAACAAATCGCCTACCACACCGGCTGTAACACTCCACCAAGAAGCGACTGCGTTTCCTGAGCTGGCGCGGCTATAACTTACAGTGTGTTACTGTAAAGCCTAGGGCTAGGCTAGTATTCATAGCATAGTCTGGCCTGAATTTTCTGTCTCTTTTGTTCGTTAGCCCTTGATTTGGGTAGGGTCGGCTCCTCTCTTCAGCCGACCCTACCCAAATCAGAGGCTAACGAACGAAAGAGACAGAAACATTCGGGCTAAGCAAAGGCCCTAAGGCAGCAGAGCCTAGGGCTAGGCCTAGATGTAGCACTTAAATATAAACAGCATTTAACCCCGCATCTAGTATAGGCCTAGATCTAGGGCTAGGGCTAGATTCTAGGCCTAATGCATTCTAATAAAGAAAGACTAAATAAATGCCTGGTGTAGGTGGATTAAATAAATGATGTGGAAGTTATGGAGAGGGGGGGGGGGGTGCACAATCATTCTGTGCCCCCCTTTTTCAGATGTGGCATAGGTCTGGGGACGGGTCTAGATCTAGGTCTAGAGCCACCTACTAATAATTATAAAAATAGGCAATTAGATCTAGATCTATAGCTTGTGTTATGCCATAGCAAAGAATTCCATAGCCATGGGTCTAGTCTCGTTTTTGCTCCACTAGACTAGACTAGTCGTGCACATGTGTCATTATTGTGATCCAGGTCCAGATTCAGCTTAGTTTGAATGTAGATCTAGATCTACATGTACTACTAGGCTAGATCTACCATCAACAACAAAAACAAAAGAAAAAAGGTGTCTCCTCCCCCCCCCCCTCTTTCCCTGATTTTGCTCTTACTCATGTCATTGTGCCTTGTTTGAAATAATTAGTTTATTTTCAGGATTTTATGCCACCCCTTTTAGTTTTATGTTGGTGAGAATTCTGGATCCAACCCTACATATGATATGGATATTTCTTTCTTTATTAAAGGACATGAACAAAGTTATAAACTGAAAACTAATTATGCATGCATTTGATATTAGCAGGAACCTTACTAAGTTTATGTTTTCTTTAAATTGTAGATCCTATGGAACAAAGAAGCAGATAATGATCACAGAAGTGCAACAAAGAGCACCAGGACCTGATCATCAAATGTTATGGTGTAGATCTAATCAAGAACAGGACACCTAAGTTGAACTCTGGCAATGTTTGTTTGTATGAAGTTCGAAAATATTCAGGCTGTATAATCTAAGCCCATGCGAATACCGCACTCGACTTGGACTATATACAAAGATTTGGGGAACTGTCATCTTGTGTTGCATTTTATCTTGTACTTCTCATTTATTCTCTAGCTTTTTATTTAGGTGACAAACTATGGTGTTGCTACAGTTTATTCTCTCAGCATATTAAAAGACGTACTCAAAGGCATTTTTTCCTAAATATTACATTATATCTAACAAACTTTTGTTCACAAAAGTCTAACAAATAATAACTTAAAATAAATTGGAAATTACTTTTAAAATAATTGGAAACACATCTAAACCTTTACTCTTCTTTTCAAAAAAGGCCCTATCAGATAGATATAAGTTTATCATTTTTTAATAAAATTAAAATGCAAGACCTAAACAAAGTGGGAAGGTACTAGATCTATTTTTGAAAATCCAATGTAATGCAGCAGTGTTAATCTTATTTGATTTCTCCTCTCTTTTTGTTTTTATTATGCAGGTTGTCCCTTGCAGAAGGTTTGATACCCAGGCTTTTTTTGTACAAGTCCCTAGTCCACCCTCATCTTGAGAACTGTTCCTGTGTCTGGGATCCCTACAACATCTCAGATGTCTACTTCACAATGGGGACCACAAGTGAACCAGCAGTTTGACTGAGATGATCAGCACCTTTAGTTGCCTACTATATCTACAACTACAAGGCACTCTGCAAGAAGACTGGGAATGGTGCACAAGATAGTCAATGGTCTCTCCGCTCTCCCTTGAAAATTTTCCCACTGCACTAGCTACTTGCGCCCTCTATAATAGCAAACAATGCCTAATCGGTGCCTGTTGGTCCCCCATGATCCTTTTTTTCTTATATTAATTGAGAGCTGATTTGATGAGATAACCACCTGTAAGTGACCTTGCAGGGTGGTCTAATCCCCCAGACCAAACTAGTACAGACAGGCTTTAACAAATCACGAGCAGGAAGTACCATGACATGACCCTCCAGTTGCACCAAGCCAGAAGCGACATAGACAAGTTTGTATTTGCCCAACACTCTGTCCCAAAGTTAATGGAACTTACTTCCAGCAAATATAGTGCATGCTGACAGTCCAGAGAACTGCCAGGGACTACTTTTGAGGCATCTACTCTCCTTGTCCCACTTAGAAACAATCTATCTTCCTCACACCACTTGTAATCTTTAGTATTAATTCATCTTCGTGATAGGCTACAACGCCTTTTGAAGATTACCAGAAGAAGAAGAAGATATATCGAGGATCATGAAAGTAATCATTTGTTCTTTTAAATGCGTGTACATGAAACATAGTTTTTTTATATTTAATCTTAAGTCAAGTTCTGACAAATATATTAGGGATGCTGAACTGGATAGTAAATTGAAGGGGGGGGGGGATAAAATGATGTAGTTCGATAGTAATACTGTAGTAATATAATTAATAACATTAATAATAATAACAATATTACAAATAGTAACAATGATCATGATAATAGCAGTAATAATAATGATAATACAGGTAGTAGTAAAAACAACAATAATGTCCAGTGTAAGATAAAGTACTCATAAAACTCAGTATATACCTGTGCTTTACATAATAAAATAGCATGTTGATATTATTGATTTTTTTTTCCTCAAAATCTACAGTAAACTTTTACAACTGAAAAATTTGAATTCAAGAGACAGCACCCCCCCCCCTCCCCCATCCTTTTGTCATCCTTTTGTTGATGTCATGTTGGATTTAAAAAGATCTTTATAGAAACAAAATATGTTGATAAATGAGTTCATAGATGTTAATAAATTAGTTAATACTGCTTAATTCTGTTCTTTTCATTTTCTTATTTTGTGAAATATATGTGATGCTGGTGATTATGATGATGTAGGCACTCTGTAATGATAACGCTCTATGACTGAGGTGAGATGGGGCTGATGCAGTCTTGTGTAGAATTGAGTATGGTGTTCGACCATTTGATGTTTGTTTATATCTGGCATCAGCGAGATAGATTTAACCATTTTTCCTAATGAGAGAGAAAGCGGAAATGTAACAAGAGAGTGGACAAGACTAATGTATAAATATAATATAAAAAATGGTTTACAATAAAGATGAGGGGGGGGGGGGTTAAATAAAGAATAAGTCAATGCCAAAATGATGAAAGCATAGGTAATTGGGGTGTGGATGGGGAGGGAGGGTAATAGAGCCTATGGAAATGTCAATATTGGAAGGGGTCCCTGTATTGAAAATGTTACTGATGGGGGGGGGGGGGGGGGGCAAATTAAAAAAATATCAGTGGCGACGAATGCAAGAATGAAAAGAACGAGACAAAATAGAAATTTCATTTGGGATGGGGCACAATATGAAGATCATTGAAGTCGAGGTGAGAATGATTCATTATTTGGACACTAAAAATATGAATATATCACTTGTTGAGTGGGCTAAAGGATCAGTGCAATTTTTCTGATTAAAAAAATATTTAAGTTAATAAACGAACAAAACAAAAAAGGTAAACAATGGATTGAGGTACCACAGTGAAATGGGGTCATTATTTTTGCCTTTTAACTGAACTGAATTTAAAAAATGTACTTTCCATCCTGGTGACAGTGAAGTTTGTGGCCCCAACTAAGTCAACCATTTAAAAGTTTATTACCCCCCCCCCCCAACACACACACCTCCCCAACTCTGACCTTTGTTTTCATATTCATATTCATATTCAAATTTATTGTCCAATGATTGGAAATTTGTTTCATTTGCATGTCGGTACAAGGTTACACATTATAAACATCAATAAGATACATATGGGTACAGAGTAGAACATTTAACTTGGACATAGGTAACAACAAATGCGATATTTCAACATGCAGACTAAAATTCGGTTCATAAATTAAGTAGTTAAATTCAGTTCAAGTTCGGATTAAATTCATTCGCAATTCAGATTAAATACAATTAAAAATTTAAACTAATTCAATTCGTAATTCAGATCAAATCCATTTCAAATCCCGATCACATTCAGTTCGTAATTCAAATTAAAATATAATTAACAAAATCAAATCACATTCAGTTTATAATTCAAACTAAGTAATAAAATTAAATTCATAATTCGGGTTAAGTTAAGTTCACAATTCAAATTCAATACAGTTCATGATTCAGACAGATTCAATTCATATTTCAGGAAATAATTCAATTCAAATCCCGATCGCGTACAATTCATAATTCAGATTAAATTAAATTGACAATTCAGGTTAAATAAATTCATAATTCAGATTACTACAATCTATAATTCACATCAATTCAATTCGTAGTTCAGATTAATATAAAATTAACAATTCAAATCAAATTCAATATATAATTCAAACTAAGTAATTAAATTATATTCATATTTCGGGTTAAATTAAATTCACAATTCAAATGCAATACAATTTATTCTTCAAACCAGTTCAGTTCATATTTCATAATATAATTCAACTCAAGTTCCGATTACCTAGAATTCATAATTCAAATTAAATTAGTTTACAATTCAAATTAAATGCAAGTTATAATTCAAAAATAGGTGATTACATTCAGTCATAATTCAGATTAAGTTAGGTTCACAGTTCAAATTAAATTCACAATTCAAATTAAATTCAGTTTATTATTCAGACTTAGATTAAACCCTCCTCGTTCATCAGCCTGATTGAGCTTGGCACAAATGAATTTAGAAACCTGCTCGTTCTGGACCTTAGAGATCTTAACCTGTTTCCTGACCTCAGGGCTACATAATTATTATTTAAGGGGTGACGGCTGTTATGGTAGATTGATTTCGCCTTGTCGAGTACTCTATTTCTACATATATCTTCGAAGTCTAGATTCTTCCCTACAATTTTTTCCGCTTGTTTAACAATTCTTTTTAGCATAGAAAAGTCTACTTTTCGACATGCTGTGTACCACACAACGCAGTCGTTTACTATTATGCTCTCTATCACAGACTTGTAGAAAAGGTACATTATAGTGCGGTCTACGTGAAAGGAATTGAGTTTACGAAGGAAATATAACCGTTGCTGCCCTTTCTTGTACAGCTCCCTACAGTTGTCATCCCATTTCAGCTTGTCATTAATTACAGTGCCAAGGTATTTGTATGATTTCACTATCTCTATTTCTTTTCCGTTTATTTTCATTGGGCAGCTACTTGGATCTACGGGTCTTACTTTCCTAAAGTCAATTATCATCTCTTTTGTTTTCGTAGTATTGAAGTCCAGAAAGTTTTCATTGCACCACTCAGTAAACCAGTTTAGATAATCTTCGTATTCAGTCTCACTTCCTCTAATATTCCCAACAATAACAGTATCGTCCGCGTATTTCAAGACTGAGACATTTTCCGAAGATGAGCGGCAGTCGTTGGTATACAACACGAACAGGATGGCCGAGAGCACGCACCCTTGAGGAGACCCGATGTTGGTAACAATGGACTCACTCATTGTGTTCTGCACCCGTACTTTCTGCGTTCTACATTATTCGGCCCAAGGATTCTGTCGAGAGTAACGCATGCGCAATGAGTGATTTCAAGTTTGGTGTTAGTGTTAGTGTTAGTGTTTAGAGCAGTCAAGAGCTCTTAAATCGAGCGGAGAATTTGCTGATGAAATTAAGAGCCCGATACCGATATCAAAATCGATAGCTTAACACCAGCCGTGACGTCACCACATACTTGATTTTACGACGATGATTTAAAAATAGTACATCAAAACTAAAGATATCATGAAAAGTACAGAATAAATTTACACCTATTTCTCTGGTCTTAGAAAATAACTAATTTTACACGAAAGAATATAGGAATTACGTGTTTCACATATTTTTATTTGATCGTCAGACAATAAATTGGCGTCGTTCGTGCGTTGAATGTGCGCGGGTACAACACTAACACCGAACTGGAAATCAACATTTGCTTAATCCCTAGGGGCTAGTGTTAGTGAATAGGACATTTGTATGTAAAATATTAACACCAGCCACAAAGGTCAGTTCAGCAGACGACAATTTTGCAAAATCGATAACACTAGCTACCGGAAGTTGACGGTATTCAGAGGTCAAAGCCTTAACACCAGCTGATTTCCATTTCGGTGTTTAGGCTGGTGTTAGTGTTTATTAAACACTAACACCAGCCTTAAACACCCAACTTGAAATCACTCAATTTTTCATTACGATAATATGCTAATAAGTGGAAATGAGCTCATGAATATTCCAAATTTTAATTTACATATTTTACGCGCTGCGCGCAGTCCAAAATCCCCATTTCGCTGGTGCACTAAAAATTTGTCGTCTTCATAGGCTAATACACGATAAGTGGAAGCAGTGTGCACTTTTGACCCTCCAAAATTTCCCCATGGCTAGACGGATGCAGAAGCGGAGTTGAAGGAAGTTTGACGAGGAAGTAGAATGGGACCGTAGTCAGTCTCTGTTTTATGTACACGGTATCTTTGTCACTTTCTGAGGGTTTCATTCTATCCATAGAGTTATATAATAATAAGACTTTTAATGTTAGTAGTATTATAGCTCTATGATTTGACACACTTCTGTAGTTTAAATGGACCTTTGGACTCAATGGACTCCATTGGTTTACAGTGTGGTGAATAAAACAGAGTAGCATGAAAGGTAGACGTAAGTGATACTAACAACATATGAGAAGGACACTACTCATTAAAGAAAAGGGTAATTTTGGGGGAAATTGTAAAACCACCGCGCACTGTGTCCCTTCGTCTTATAGGCCTATAGGGGGTGGACATTTGTTATCTCAAAATTTTAAACAAAATCACGTTATAAACGTCAGTGATTTTGGGATAAAATATTCTCTTCATGCGATGAGCAAAAATCGACATTTTAATAGCATACTTGGGATCGATTCTCTGGATTTGAAATTGCTCCGAAATAATGATTGAATAACCGTTTCAAGAGTGGATTCAATAATTTTTAGTGGATTTCCACTCAACATGGAATGATCCAAAATCTGTCTCCCCTAGGGACGGATCAACGTAGCGATTTTTCCGACCCGGCCCCCCCCCCCTCCCTCAGCCCCCAAAACGATAAATAAATAGGATAATAACGTAAAGTTAACCTTTATAAAACAAAAAACAAAAGCGCCCCACCCCCCCCTCCCCGCTTATTCGCCGGCCGGCTACCCCCCCCCCCCCCTTGACGCCGGCTGTATCCCCTGGGGGGGGGGGCTGACGGATCAACAACAACAACAAAATTTAAAAAAAAAAAAATTCACGAATTAGGTCCCCCAAAAAATAGTGGTCTCACCCCCCCCCCTACCCCCGCTTATTCACCGGCTGACTGAGTCGGCGCAAAATATTTCCTGAAAAATTGGACCCCCAAAATGCCTCCTACCCCCCCCCCCCCCCCCCCCCCCCCCGCTTATTCACCGAC